ATAAAGGTAGATAATCTTATAAGGAATCTTGTGTTTCATTTTCAAATCTTAGATTTAAAAAGAAAAATTTTTACGAATTCTTAACTCAAAATAATTTGCTAATTTTCGTGATTTTTCCATATTTTGTGAATTTTTGAACTTTAAATGCTTATAAAAAAAATTGTGACTAAGGATTTTTAATATTTTTCATCTGCCTTTGAAACAACATATTAGGAGCCTTCTATTAAATTTTCAAGCTTTCGCAACCAACAAATAAAATTTTATTGATATTTTTAGAAAAAAACTAAAAAAAAAAATGGAAAATGAAAATGTCCAAAAACAGTTCAAAATAAATCAAAATATTTTGAAAATGTTATCGTGTATAGAAAATGCAAATATAAACAACCAGTGAAATTTCATGTATATACCTACGTTCATTTGTTTTAGAGTTACACCAATAACCAAAATCGATTTTTTGGAAAACCAATTTTGCGTAAAAATTCCCGTTTTTCCTTAATTTTTATGTTGTTTTTCCCGGCGCTTGTGAAAACTACTCCCAAAGTACTAACTAGATTCTCTTTCCTATCAGAAAAGATACTGTTGAAGAAAATCCAAGCACTTTTACTGTTCTAAAACATGATGACAGACACAAAAATATAAATAAAAATATAAATAAAAATATAAAAAAAAACATACATCATTGTAAAACCAATACATTCATCGTTTCGCTCAGAATCTAAAATTTCATCAAGTTTACATCTCTACCTTCGACACTTTCTGTTATTTTATTTTTGTAAGTATTTTAAGATAAAATGATGACAACATTTATCAAATCGAATATTTACCAAATTTTTTAGTACCTACCTAGTTAAAAATTTAAAAAAGTGTTAGACATTATTATAGCTATAAGGATCGAAGATGTTAAACAAGAATACGCATAAATAGTTCATAATGAAACCATAAAAATTTAAAAATATATAAATACAGTTATATTTTACAGATATTATATGAGCTCAATTCCCGCCATTGCCACACACATAATATAATTACTATATTCTATTAAAGTTATCTCTTGTGTTCTGAAAATTTAAATTTACCCACCGTCTGTGGAACAATAATACATTTCTATACGTAGTCAGCACTAGTCATATACTTAAACATTACAACACTCATATATGTTGACAGACCAATACAGTCTACAGACCATTCTTTTTGTATGCTATCAAAAATCGTTGTGTTCGAATTTAAAACACATCCATTGTAACGGTTTTAGACGGTTCTGGGTCAATCGACCGACAACCAAAATACCGACAAGACAATCAACCGAAAAGGTCAATCGACCGACAACCAAAATACCGACAATAATATTATAAGTACCTACATAGTAATTTAATTTCACTTATATTAAAAAGATTTTTATAAATATTGTATAGTAATAATATTTAATAATAATAAAAATCTTCTTTAAATATAATTTAATCGGGAACTTATGTCATATATAAGTATATTGCTGAAAGTTTTGAAAATTGGCACATGTCTCTTTTATATAAAATAAATAAGACAACAAATAAAGCAGGTTAAACCAAAATTATCGGATATTAGAACGTTATAGAAATAAGTTGGTCATAAAATGGATAAGCCATCCAGATACGTTTAATGTTTTTATCTAATCGAAACATTTTATCGCACAACAACGAAATCTCAATTGACACGGTACATTTTTCCGACTGTACAAATTTAGTTGAGCCGTAGAAGGTAACGCGGTCTCTGTGCGTATTTTATTTAATATAGGTAAAATGGAGGAATATTGTAAAATTGTACTCTCACAACAAGGCCGAGAAAAATTAGTTGTCAAAGGGTATTTAATGGTTAAAGATAATAATAGAGAAGATCTCTTTTATTGGTTGTCGGGCGATTGACCTTGTCGGTTGATTGTCTTGTCGATATTTTAATTGTCGGTCGAATGGTTGTCGGTCGATTGTCCACCTTCCGTCTTATTCAACGACTAGGTAGACTAAACACATAATAATATACAATATACTGTACAGTGGAGTCAGAGCGGTTGCCTATACTTTCCTCCTTTATATTTTATAATCAGGAGTGTCAAAACGGTAATGTGTTTTAAAAAAATGAAGATGGTATTATTTTCTATAACTTACTACAAGGTATTATACCATTTATAAATAATCAACTTGATTTGTTGTATCTAATTTAGTATGAAGACAAAAAGAAATCATTTAAAAAACAATCCAAAGCACTTTACTCGATATTTTTTCTGTATATTATAGGAACAGTGAAAAATGAAAATATATGAATCGTAATTATGTTTTTGTTAAATGTTAACAAGTAACCATATGACAACGATACCTTACGAAAATACCATCAACAATATTATCTAATATTATTAGAGCTGACTAGCTGAGATTAGAAACTACATGAAAATGTAAAATATATATCATGGGACACATGGCCATTTTTTCATTGATGGGTTGAGTGGGCACAACCATGTATTGGCCCCTGAGCCCCAGAAGGTCTTAATCCGGGTTTGACCACCACTGCTCAATATAGGTACATTCAATCCTTTGAGTAGGTATAGGTATAATTTACAACAAAAAACAAATCATTGCAATAGATCTCATATGGGACATGTTTCCTGTAATACTTATAGTTAGATCTGTAAAGACGAGCCTCGAATGAAAGCACCCTAGTTACTATTAAAGCACAATCTGCATAGTGTGCATATGACAATCTAGCACAATGTATATTTCTACAAATACCTACACACCCATATTATATCCTATAATATACTATAATAGTAAAATTATATTGTAATTTATTATGTATTCAAGGCATATTATATTGGTACCTATTTTTTTTTTAAATAATGTCGGTGGTGTAATTATTAATTTCGTAACTAGACCACATATCATAAACGCATTGTCTTTAGTCAGGAAAGGCCATTAGTATATTTTGTAACCACTGACTTTTGCACTAACTATGATATTATAATAATTTTGCCCGTTTGTCGAAAAATGATAATAATAAATGAATAGGTAAATAGGTTACATAAATATTAATTATATAACTACCTATATGTACGCTCCAAATTGTATAGTGTTATGGATAACAAAATGCAATATAATATTAATACACCCTGTAAAATGAACGATCTTCCGTAGTCACCAAATTACTTTTGTAAAATATGCAAATATGCATTACGAGAGTTTGAATTTAAAGTTTTCACAATATTGGATTTTCATAGGTAAATTAACTAATTTGCATACCTATATCAATTTTTGATATTTGGTTGGAATTCAAAAAGAAATAATCCTAGATACTTGAAATTTTCATCTAATATTAAAAAGACAATTTTCCATACATGGTAGAATGTTCAAACAATTTTAACTTTTTTTGAGATATTTATAGCAATTTAACCATGAGATATTTTTTAAATATTGTAAATTATTTTTTAGTTAGAAATTCATAAAATATAATATAATTAAAAATAATTCTATAATTAAAAATGTTAATAGAGATCTCATTAACTTAAGTTTTTCTACTGATAACAACAACAAAAAAGTTTAATGAAATGGAATATTAATTTCTTATGAGTGTTTTAACTCATAATTTTTAAGATATTTGATGATATTCAGCGGTAAATGATTAAATTCCCATTTAGTCCATTCTTGAGAGAAAGAAAAAATCTCAAAATGAGACAAAATACTTTGAAAACGTTATCAAGTACCTGTGGGAATTGATAAAATAAACATATTATGGTATAAATGTAAATAATCTACAATTATTGGTAGATGAATTACAATAAAATAATAAAATGGCTAGTATTATATTTAAAATATCAAGTGAATATTAAATGTTGGCAAACTTTGAACTTCAAACATTTAAAATTTAATTTAAACCTTGTTAAAAAAAAAAAAAAAAAAAACATTTCTTTTTGAGCTGTCATTTTAACAATATTAGGAACCTTAATTGTATTAAAATTTCGTTTTTTGACTAAACGAATAAAATAAAATTGACATTTATAGAAAAAAAAACTAATAATATTGGGCAAGAGGGTTTCGCTATGCTGGTTACAAGTGGGTCACTGTAATGGAAGGTGTTAAATTTTAATTCATTTATGTAATTGTACTATTGTATAAGAAAAATGATTCCGAAAGAAGACAATCTGAGAGTCTACGATATATTGATATTACTAAGTATATTTGATGATATTATAGTGAATAAAGTAATTAATGTATAACCTATATTACATTGAACATTATATACGTTTTTAACTACAACAATTCAAAGTTTTTGAACTAAGTACAACAAAATAAAAAAATCCTACGGGAGAAATCGAGTGAATATCCAATGCTGTAAAAAAATGAATTTCAAATGCTCATAGAAAAATTAATTTGACTAACCAATAAAGATTTTTTTGTTGATAATTTAGAAAAACTTATAAGAAATCTTGTATTAAATTTTCAAATCTTAGATTTAAAAAGAAAATTTTTTAACAATTTCTAACTTAACATAATTTGCACATTTCAGTGATTTTTAAGTGTTTTCTCAACAACAAAAAAATTGTGAATATGGATTTTTAATAATTTTCAAATATCTTTGTAATAATATATTAAGAGCCTTGTATTAAATTTTCAAGCTAGTTTATTCAACAAATATTATTTTTAAATTAAAACGAGATAACTATAATCGTTGTTCTCCTTTTAAATACCTCTCTAATTTGATCCGAATTTGAACAAAAAGTATCTATGAAAAAAATTGTTTTGCATATATTTTATAGTTTTTTTTTTAGTTGCATAATTAACTACTTATGAGAAACCTTCATTTAAATGGACAATCCTTAGCTATAGTATAGAAATTAATCATGAAAGTAGTAAAATTAAAAAAAATACAATAAATTTATTATCATACAATATAAGAAAAAATGTATATACAAAAAAGGCATGTCTTGTATAATATGCTAAACATAGTGCAGTATATGAAAACAAGTATATAAAAAAAAATCATAAATGCTCATAAGTTGTAAAATGTAGTGGTCTATTAATTGTTACTACTCCTGGTAAAATCCGCAAAATATTACATTTCGCTGTGACCATGGCCCAGGTATTGGTGTTTGGGTTGTAACATTCTACAGAATCAAAAAAAGAAGATGCGCTTAATCCACCAACGACATACAACAAACCATCTAATGCGACTGCTTCTATATAGAAAAATTAAAAAAAAATGTTTTCATAAAATAGTTTACATTTATTTTACAAGAAGTTACCTGGATATTTTCGAGGTATGATCATGTCTGCAATAGAAGTCCAAACTCCTGTACTTGGTTTGTATGCTTCAACACTACTCAGGCAGTCAGATCCATCATGGCCACCTACAGCATACAGTACACCGTTCAAAACTCCTACACCGGCACAACTGCGACGTATACGCATGTTCGCGACTGGTCTCCACATATCCATACTGGGATTATAACATTCAACAGTGTCTAAAGAACGTCTGTATTCATCATGACCTCCTACCTACAAAATTGTATTATTACAAATTATTAAAAATACCTCACCCTAAAAAGAAATAACAAAGTAAATATTATTGCATAGCATTTTCAATGAAAGTGATTAAGAACATATTTATATGAAGTTTAATAAACTAAATATTTTTTTATTTTTTATTACAAAAGTGTATCTATTATAAATTATCAATTTCAATATTACACGGGGACGGAAATGTTTAGAAATTAAAAATATTATTAATATAGCAAATATAATGCAAAATCAAAACATAAAAAAATATACCACATATAAAAGTTCATTCAGGACTCCAACACCAAATGAAGATCTTATAGAAGTCATACTACATATCATACGCCATGCTTGAGTATTGTAGTCGAAAACTTCTGCACTTTGTAAATTACCAAACATATCATCCAATCCGCCTACCTAAAATTAAATGTATAATTTATTGATACATGTTTTTTATCGAACTAACAATTAAACCAATAAATTATAATTCAACATTACTTACAGCATATATTTTATCATTTATTACACCAAAACCTGAAAGTCTTCTTTCAACTAACATGTCGACACTTGGTTGCCAACAAGGTGATTCGGAAGACAAATCAAGCATATAAACAGACCGATGTGATGCATTACAACCCACATCAAATACAAAATTATCATTAATTACGACTAGACTATTTACACATCGGTCTGTAATCAATTCTGGTCCAAAATGCCATTGATCCGTTCTTGGATCAAACCATTCTAAGCTATTACGTGGTCCAAACTCATTTCCACCGATAACTAATAGAACCTGTTGTAATTAAATTTTTAAATACATTGTTAAGATAAATAAATTATACAGAATCATACTTTTTCGCCATGTCTGGGTATATTCCGGACGATTTGCGGAATAAACTCTTCCGAGTTGATTGTATTTAATGCCTCAAATCCGTAATGATAACCTTAAAAATTATAAAAAATATATATCTAAAATATAAATTATTCACAATGAAAGCATATTAAAAGATAAAACTTACATTTAAAACAATTCAAAATAAGTGGTTCCTCAATTACATTTTTTAATATGTACTCTTTCGATGTTAATGGTAATCGCACGTGTTCCATTAATTGGGGTAAAATACATTGTCTTGAACCCAAATCATATTTCACCCAAGATATCACACTTTCAAACACCTAAAACAATAAGTATACTTTTAAATTATTAGATTACTTAATATTATATTAGAAGGTTACTAAAGTTTTCTTTTGTCAATAATAAAATATAAAAATAATCAATGTTAGTTTGCCTACTTTTTCATCAGATGATACTGGAAGTCTATTATTGGATATCAACTTAATTACTTGTTCCGATGATAAGGATAGGAATTCATCACCGCCAAAAACTTCACTAAGAATCAAAATATTACAATAATAAATAAAATGTACTGATAGAAGCATAATAATAAATTATATTTCGTACGAAAAGTGTTGATGAATATATATTTCTGATCTTGTTATCAATTTTTTACAGCTATGTAAATCAGCAAGAGTGTTAATACCGATACAATTTGTAGGACAGAGCTGTGACTGTAAAAAATCACAACAAGCGTCTTTTACTCCTTGTAACTGCAAGAGATCTGCGGCTGGTAGCAAGCCCTTGAAAAATAAACAATATACAATTTAAATAATTAGGTTTATATAATTAAATCAAACTTTATCTATTATTACCAGGACGTTTTCTTCAGTGACCCTGATTTGCCCTGAATAAATAAAGTTTACTAAGAGCAGTAAAGCGGTTGAATCTATGTCTCTCATTACAACAAGTTCATGATTCCTTTCTGCAAAATTTGTGAACATAGCATTGAAATATGTACTAGCAGCCGATAAAACCACTTTATGTGCAGTTATTATTGTTTGATCGTCCGTTTTCAGTTTAACATCACAAAAAAAGTCACCACTACAAAAAAATGTTATTAATATTTTTCTAGGAGTTTAAGGGCCCGTATTACAATAGTTGAACTCCGGTGAAACCACCAAATTCGTGTGGTAAAGTAAGTGGTTCAAACGTAACCGAGGTTTAAACTATGATTGTAAAACGGGCCCTAAATCACTTGCCACTTACTTCCGTAAGTATTGCAAACTTTTATATATATCTACAAAAGATGATATTTTATACAATTTGTTGACTGGTTCCCATCTTCTAGAATCTGTAGTTTTATTTTCCATTGTGAATTCAATTGTATATTAATGCCTTGAAACTAAAAAAGGACATTTCAAAATCAATTATAATTTATAATTATCGTAGATATGGTTAACAATCCTCAATAAAAAAAATAATAAAACCAACACATTATTAATTTAGATTGAAATCAGAATAAAATAATATCGAGAAGCTATTATGGAATAATTTTTGTACACTGTTACTAACATGATATGGTTTTTAGATGGTTTGTATAATATATTTTTTAGTAAAATATTGTTGAACCCTATATAGCTATCTAATAATATGTTGTTTCATTTAAAGTAGTTTACTTAAAATCAGTAATTGCATTAAAATTAATTTGAATAGTCTATTTGATATTGTTACACCCAGGCTAGTGTTGAGACTGAAATATAAGCGATATAGTTTGTTTGTTTTAGAATGTATAGTGAAGAAGGTGGAGCATTGAGACACTAATTTTTCTATGAGTCATATTTAGTGTACTTTTAATAATTTTAAAATATTGTTTTTTTGAAATCAGAAAAAAATAATTTTCAAAAAGCAAACATGAAATTAACTTCATACTGTACCAGCTTCTAATGTATCAATGACTATTCCTTATTTTAATAAAATTAACGTAACGAGAGCAATGAGCCGAATATACGGTGTATATGTCAACTGACCTTCGCCTAATTGTTTCAAATAACCAATGTTATGTTCCAATAAGCTGATTGCATCAATTATCTGTGTTCCCAATAAGCGGCTTCTACTGTTCCTTATTGTTCCTCCACCGACACTATTCCTTATTTTAATAAAATTTAACACATTAGACGCGATACATTAAGGGCCGTTCTTACAATATCTGATAACACTAACCGACAGAATTTCTTTCGTATTACCGTTGGAATTCTGCCGGTTAGTCTTAACTGATAATTAACCGGCCATCATGAAAGGCTCTTAAAGAGTATAAGACAAAAAAAATGTGTCTCATTGTGCCCCGTCGCGTATTGCACCACGTATACATTTCAAGTTAAATATTTAATAAACATACCTTAACGTAAGGTTTTATATGAGTAATTATTGCTCAGAATATGTATTGTTTTCATCCGACTAATATAATTTAATTAAATAATAAATACATACCTTTAAAAGAAATTACACCGACAGTACGACCCGAAAAATCAAACCGGACGAATGACGATGTGTTTGTTTGTTTTGATAACAATATAATATTGAGAGAAATGTTGTTAAACAAGAACCACGTTATCAGAATCAAACTGTTTTGTTGATGACTCTCTTATCTATGTACCTACACTTCCAAACACATACAATTTCACATACAGTTTTTGTATGTTTACGAACCGAGATCTCACCACGAACGACCAAGTGACGTCTAGTCTCACTGTGCCAACCTCGCGATTGCATACCTTTAATAATATGCAGTGTTGGGTAGTAACGTAAAGCAAATTACAAATTACTTTAAGGCAATTGCTTTTTCAGTAACGCAGCAGTAATTTAATTACATTTCACTTGAAATAACGTAATTGTATCAAAATTACTTTTGAATAGTAATTTCCATGAAGTAACACACTAACGCGTTATTCTCCACGTAATTAAAATAATAGTTTTGAATGTATTATCCCAGAAAAATTAAAAATCAATTACATTTATTTTGGGTCCGATAATAGTTAACAATACGTCACTAAACATTCCAGAAATAAATGTTTTAATCACTTTATTTGTAGAAAGAAAAGAGTTTGCTTTAAAAATAAAATGTAATAAAAATTAATTATGATGATTGTACATTAATTGTGGGTTAAAAAGAAAATGATTAAAAAAAAGTAACGTTATTTGTAACCATAGACATATTTTATGAGTCTATGGTTCGTGACACACTACTTTATTAATGAAAAAGTAATGTAATTAAAATAAAAAAATATGAAGTAACGTATTTTCATTACTTTTTAAAAGTAATTTACCTAACACTACCTACCTATATGATATTATAATTATATAATATACCTATAATATATACATTGCCGGCTTTGGCGGCTTTATACGATTTCTTAAAACAATCTTTGTGAAGTAGGTAGGTACCTATACAAATTCCTGGTTTTTCTGTATAATAGGTAAGGTACGCTATAATAAAAATTTAAAATAATTGAACAAAAACATTTTAAAAAGTTCTATTGGTACTTCTATATTCCTAATATTTTTACCAACTTGTATATCATACAGCCGCAAACCGTACAGGTTCAGGATTGTCTGGATTATTTAAACTTTAAAAATTATGTATTATTAAATCAATATATTATGATAAGGGTTATAGGAACCAAAATCTAAAATAATAGTTCGGCATCTGCATGTTACACTTGTGGAACCTAGGTAAACCACCGCCGTGTAAAAATTGATCAGGAACATAATATATAAATATGTGCTTGCAAGTGGTTGTTTTTTAAGTTACCCATTTGGACTGGTTGAAACTTTTAACCCCCTCTATTAATAACTGAAATGACACCACTGACTGTAATAATAACAATATAGGCCTACCACCCACAGCCCACAGATAGGTGCTTGAGATAGGGATTAGAGATAGCATACCGATGGACGAAGGTACTAAAAAAGTTATTATATGTAGTTATTATATACGTATAGCAATCGGCAGTATTTTTATTTCTAAATTGGTGAACTCTTAAATTGTCAAGTGTGTAGTACAGTTGACGTCAGTGGAAATAAGGAAGACAAGGAGTACTGCTTCCCCTTATTTATAGAATAACACTATTATGGAGTCATTAGTCATTGATTAAATAATAAATATCCACTTATATTTTAAATTATTTATAACATACTCGTAGTAAACTATTAATAGTGTCATCCTCTGCAATAATTACCAATTTAGAAATCAAAATACTTTTGACTGCCGAGGACCCGTTCTCGTTTTTATTATTAAAACTAATAACTATAATACCTAAGAAAATCTAGAAAAACGATTTTTAACAAGTCGTATAATTTCTGATAAATAATTCATGTCCTTAAAAAGCTCCAAACTTTAAATTTTATTTATGTACGGAATTTAATTCTCAATGAGTACCTATATTTAGGATTTTTTTTTCAAAACATGTGTTTGTATGTATAGAATATAGAGTAGGTACCTATATTTTGTTTTAATCTGCAAATAAGTCGACCGTCCTTACACTTCTACCTCGTAGTATTGAAATTATGACACTACTTTTTTTAAATTTCGAAACTAAGATTGTATTTACGAATTTTTGATGATATTTTTGAACTATCTGTGAACTATTTTTATTAGGAAAATGTGTTAATTTGTATATTATAAAACAATTCAAATCTACCAAGTTATTACTAATTACAATGACGTAGACATGGCCATGAGTCATGACACATGCGAGACCTGGTCATTAGAAAAAAATATTATAGTCCATACTCCATAGGTATACATCTAATGAGTGCGATGTCACGCGACACGCATTCTGTAATGAATTATTAATATAATTATTAATCAACGTATTTTCCTACAACCCTTAAAAAGGACTTTAACATTGTTGCACAAATAGGTGGGTGAATAACTTTTAATTATTAGTTGAAGCCTGCAGGTATGCTGCTGCATTAAACACGATTGTCATATAACTTCAAACTTATCACTAAATCAATATTGGCAGGAAATAAAATAATATAATACTTGGAAGGTTTCTTACCTATAATTAAAATACCCATTAGTGCATCAATCATAAATTATACATAACCAATTTTCATGCATTTCTTGAAAAGGCAACCAAGTAGGTTATTAGTTATATATTATGCATTTGAGTGTTTCACTATATAGTTCACTTCAGTCTTCACTGCAGTCATAAGCGTGCGCAGATGGGGTAACCTTATTTAAATAAATTCACCGTAGTAAAAAATATTTTATAAATAAAAAAAACTTGTCGACTATCATGATAACTTTGTATATTGATGGGGGAAGTTCGCAGAGTAGTCCATGCCTACCATAGTACCATGACTACACCTCGTGAACGCGCTTATGACTGCAGTCAGACACATACAGTTGAATAAGACGGCAATACCTACTGGAAGATGTACCTATACAATTTATAAATAATATATAATTTTCTGTTTGTAAAACATTCTTTTAAAAACAAATACATAACAGCATTAGGAACTTTAAAAAAAATGTATTGGGTAAGTATACTGTATACCTAACTATTTACTTTGATTAAATGTAAGGTGTTTCACTTCGACCGATGCAATTTAAAATGACACATGCGAGAAGTGGTCATTAGAAAAAATCAAAAAATATTATAGTCCATACTTTATAGGTATACCTACATCTAATGAGTGCGATGTCACGCGACACGCATTCTTTAATGAATTATTAATATAATTATTAATCAACGTATTTTCCTACAACCCTTAAAAAAGGACTTTAATATTGTTGCACAAATAGGTGGGTGAATAACTTTTAATTATTAGTTGAAGCCTGCAGGTATGCTGCTGCATTAAACACAATTGTCATATAACTTCAAACTTATCACTAAATCAATATTGGCAGGAAATAAAATAATATAATACTTGGAAGGTTTCTTACCAATAATTAAAATACCCATTAGTGCATCAATCATAAATTATACATAACCAATTTCCATGAATTTCTTGAAAAGGCAACCAAGTAGGTTATTAGTTATATATTATGCATTTGAGTGTTTCACTATATAGTTCACTTCAGTCTTCACTGCAGTCATAAGCGTGCGCAGATTGGGTAACCTCATTTAACTAAATTCACCGTAGTAAAAAATATTTTATAAATAAAAAAAACTTGTCGACTATCATGATAACTTTGTATATTGACGGGGGAAGTTCGCAGAGTAGTCCATGCCAACCATGACTACACCTCGTGAACACGCTTATGACTGCAGTTGCAGACACATACTGCAGTTGAATAAGCCGGCAATACCTACTGGAAGATGTACCTATACAATTTATAAATAATATACAATTTTCTGTTTGTGAAACATTCTTTTAAAAACAAATACATAACAGCCTTAGCAACTTTAAAAAAAATGTATTGGGTAAGTATAACTATTTACTTTTATTAAATGTAAGGTGTTTCACTTCGACCGATGCAATTTAAAACTCAATTTTTGGAAAAGGTTTGTTAACATTGCCTAAATATATATATTATAATAATATATATAATGTATAATATGTAATCGATAATCTATCGACTATCGTAGTACCTTATAGTCATTATCTTAATTACGTCATATTATATCGTTATACATATATATATAATTATATTGTTAGATATAAAAGTCCAATACTTTGTATAACAACATAATATAGAACCGATATAAATAATACAAAAGTACACTTTTATGAAAAAACATGAAAATTTTTGTGCAACATAAAACTTTCTTTAAATGAATCTACATCTATTGATTTGGATTTGTAGCTTGTTTCTATTGAATTTAGAACAAGAACACGCCATAAAAAGATGCAATTACAAAAGAATCCGGTCTTAAATTATAAATATTAAGGTATTAAAGTAACTGGCTTATAAGTTTATAAATTAAATTACAGTGACTGGTGAGTGGTGAGTGATGAGTGATGACTAGGTATTGACTAGTAACTATTTTATACATTTTATATTTTTAAACTTAGTGAGTTTTTAAAAATTAAATTATATTAATAACTAATAAGAAATAACTACATAGTAAATACTTAATAGTTAGTACTCTAGTAGTTAATAATTAATATTACAAATTATAATTATTTATAAATCTAGTACAGAATCATCTAGATTTATCTACTACATACTTTAAGTTAGGTATGGTATAAATAATATGTATGTAATATGATTATCAACTATCATTATTTATTATATTGTTGCTACTATACATTACTTTTCAGTTCTTTAGAAAAAAAAACACAATTTTTCAGGAAAACAACCAGTTTTTTTTGTCAAAAAAATTTTTTCCGGAAATTTTAAATGAAACCTATTTTTCCCAATTTTTCCAATTTTTTTTTTTCGGAAATTTTGATCCCTACAGTTTATAGTTATAACAATTATATAGCAGTTGTAAGAAACAATGTCCTAACCCGTTAAATATATAAACATAATAATATAAAAAACATAGTGCAAAGTAAACGCATTAAATGCACAGCCCTGTTTACCACATTTTTAAATATTTATTACGAATTTATCACGAAAACGATTTCCAATAAATCATGATTTACGCTGCTGATTAAGTAATAAAAAGATTGTTATTATACTTACAAAATTATTGTTTTTATTTTCATGCAATCATGAATTATATTTTATATTAATTTATAATTATAAATAATCTAATTTGTGATCAATGGTAGAAAGTAGAACGTAGAATACGTAACTTAGATTTACGTAGGTA